AAAACCAGAAGCTCAGCGGCAAACCAAAGCAAAGGGGGTGGGGGGTAGACAAAATATGTTAAAACAAAAAATGAAGTATGTAACTTATATCTTTCACTGCATCGTCATCAGGGGCCTGGTGCAATGAAAGAAGCAAATAAATAAATCAGCATGTTTTTGAACTGACAAATACATTAAAGTTTAAAATTTAAAATGTAAATAGAAAGCTATAAAAGTAATCTGTGCCTGTATCAATCCAATCTTTACAGGCTGAAGTAAACAGTGCAGAAAACTGCAAAATGAAAGCAGAAAAAATATAGACAAATTTTAAGTTATTCCTGCTGAATTTATTAGTAATTTTATCGAATACTTTATTTACTGTCTTGGCAACCACTATTGGTTTTGGTTCTGAAAAATTACAGATTTTCATATATGCTGGTAAGTTTGTGCTGTAAGTGAAAGTTAATGTTTAGTCTATGTGGATAAATTGGGTTGAATTTCAGCATGTAAAATGTTTTTTGATGAACTCTGTCTTTAGTGTTGGGAATAATTTCCACGCAGTAAAACTTGCTAACATCTGTGCCAAACACAAAGTTGTTGCTTTCGTATTATGGTTTTACATCCAGAATGTGTCGTTACTTATCGTGAAGAAAGTGACAAGGAGGTTATTGAGCTTTGAACGATTCCACTTGATAGTTTAGTGGGAATTCTAGACATGGCAATTGCAGGAGTTGAACAATGAACAAGAAATGATGTCTATCTGCAAAATTAAAGCATAAATATTAGAAGAAAAACAGAACATCTTAAGCCGATTACACTGAAAAAAATATTTTATTTAATAGAGGAAATAAATAAATATCGACCTTTTTTTTTTTTTTTTTTTTTTTTTTTTTTGTAAATTTTGTGTCCTTTAAGGTCATAAATGCTTTGCAAGTTTATAAACAACTATTTGATATTTTTAATTTTGTTAACTTCTGTTTGCTATTATACCAGATTTAAAATGCTGATATAAAATCTTGAAGAAGAAATACTGTAAAATTCAATAGATAAATACATGTTCATTCTGGAATAGCAAGATAATAACACTACAGAGTAAATATATGTACACTGCTCGGCATTGAAAATGCAACACCAAGAAGGAGTGGTCAGAAATTGATTCAAATTTTAGAGTAGACGCATGTCACTGAGTTATGCAAATGATGTGAAATGTGCAGCTCTCCGATGCACATGAAGTAAGATATAAGAGAAGGAACGTGCAGAATGGGCAATATTCGTGTCGTTATTTCTGCCAGACGAATTATCGAAGAAAGTTAGTTTTTGTCCCGGAGGATATGTGTAATAGGAGAGAATGCAAGACCGCTGTGAACGCAGGCACTTCTAGCAGATAGACGATTTTACGAGGGGTATGGTGATCAGACTGAGAAAAGCGAGTTGGTCCTTACGTCAAATCGCAGCTGATACCCACATGGATGCGAGCACGGTGCATTGACTATGGCGAACATGGTTGGAACAAGGAAATGTGGGGAAGAAGGAGGGGTGCAGGTGCAACCAGAGTGACGTCAGCACGCGTGGATCGATGCATCCGCCAACAAGCTGTGGCGGTCCCGCAAGTCACTTGTACCACGATTCTGCAGCATGTGCGAGATACCCTGGATGTTCCCGTGTTGACCAGAACCATTTCCCATCAATTGGTTGAATGTGGCCTGCACTCACGTCATCCGTTAAAAAGACTGCCATTGAGCCCATACCATAGACGGCAACGTTTAGAATGGTGCTGGACCGGAGCGATGTGGATGACAGAATGGTGAAACGTCGTGTTCTCAGATGAGTCGCGCTTCTGTTTATCCAGTGACATTCGCTGCATACATGTGTGGCGTCGATGTGGAGACAGATCTAATCCGGCAGTAACTGTGGAACGCCCACCGCGCGACAACGTGGCATAATGGTTTGGGGCGCTATTGCCTACGATTCCAGGTCACCTCTAGTTCTTATTCAGGGCACTATGACGGCACAACGATACTTGGATAATGCACTGCGACCGGTGGCAATCCCCTACCTTCAGGTGCTGCCTAATGCAATTTTTCAGTAGGATAACGTCCGACCACACAGTGCTTGCATCTACCAACATGCTCTGCAAGGTATACAGGTGCTTCCCTGGCCACCATACTCTCCTGATCTGTCACCAATCCATACATATTATGTATGGGATAATATGTATCATTCCATACATATTATTCATTATCCATACATATTATGTATAGGATATGATTGGACACCGTTTGCAGACTCTGCCCCTGCCTCGTTCAGAAGAATAACTGTGGCAAATGGTTGAAAGGGAATGGAGAGCCATCCTTCAGGACACCATCCACACTCTTATTGACTCTATGCCTAGATGTGTTTCTTCGTGCATCGCTGTCCGCGGTGGTCCTACATCCTACTGAGCCGACGCCATTCTCGCTCTGTATTCTGACTATTATTTTGAAATGAAGATCACTCATTGCTGCTTGCTGTTTCTGTCTTTTTTCCAAATTTCATCACTTTCTGACCACTCCTTCTTGGTGTTGCATTTTCAATGTCGAGCAGTGTATAAAGAAGTGTTATGTTTATCATAATACCATCCTTCAAGGGGTTGGTACCGTGAGGAGTATATCGAACAGGTTCATATTTCTGATCTGTATAATTAACAATTTAGCAAAGCCAAAAGAAATATTTGATAATAAAGAAATAGTTAAAGAAATTAATACATGGCTAGGAGCAATGAAATTAATCAAAAGTGTGAAATGTGTCCCATCCATCAAAGATAATTTGATAAAATTTTCAAAACGCACACACAGAAAATAAAAGTTATATAAGATTTAATACTGGTGTAATACAAATAGTTGAAAAATGGAAATTGAATTCAATCAATAATTATATTAAATACCTATAGGAAATTTTAAGTTAAATTTGGTTAATTTGAGAATATGTAATTTTATATATACCATTGAATAATATAGTAGTTGATGGAAAAAATTTAGACCATTGCATACATATAATGCATGTAGTTCTTGTAAAAGAACATTAAAAGAAGAGAAGATTTACTTTGTGTTATATGTATGGAGCCTTTTTGATGCAAAACTGCTTCTTGCACAAGGTAAATTTTCATGTTTCTTAGATTCATTTATAAGAATTACATGCATTGTATGATCACTGGTCTATAATTACTCTTAAAAATTATTTTTAATGACAAACCAGCTTCACTGCTTCTTTTTTAATTATTTTATTTAAGAAGAAAATATCATATACAAATATTTATATCGAAGCAAAATACAGTTGGAGAACTTCGTATTACAATTATTGCTCACGTCAAGTCAGTTAGATTCGTTTTGTCCCTCTACCCGCCTTAGTCATAGGAGGCGATGAATTGTCAAGATTCATTGCCGTTTTTGTAATGGGCCAGCATCCCACCTGACCTTGCCATTTTCACATGCAAGAACTTCACATAAATTTAATTATGAAATATTAATATTAAAATTTTTTTATACATTGAAACAAGTGTAGAATATGTTCAGAAAAATATGAAATAAGTAAACAAAAAATTGTAAACAAGAATACAAAATTATTAAGAAAAAATAATTTTCAATAATAGCCGAATATAATTTTCAATAATAGAATATAATTAATAGCTGAATAACATAAGACTTACAATTTACTAAATTTCAATAGGCAATACAGCTATTTTATTAATTGCTCTTTTAAACTCTACTGTTTTGGTACAAACTTTCACAGCATCTTTCACTTACAATTGTTGAAAGTTGGCAAAAAACAACAAAAATTGTCTAACTTATTTGGAACAAATGGAAGTTCGATTACTTAAATACTTTACAAGCTATATAAAAATGGATCGTTGAAAAAATCATTAGATGATTTTTTTCAACAATCCATTTTTATGTTTCATTAAAAATTTTCATCACCTGATCCTTTGTATGCAAAACTGGATCATCTCAAATACCAGGTCTCTCTAAATTAAAGAAAAGTTTTAAAGTACTTTGAAGACAATCATTTTGCACAAGAAAACAATGCCTCTGGTAAGAAGGTTGTATTTCGTGAATCTTCCACCATGTGATCAATCCAAAATCAGACTCTTTGAACAATAATTCATCATTTATTTTATATGTATTATTTTTCAAAAGCTTTAAAAGTAAATCAGCACTTACAAGGACACACCTCTGATGCCTCATATTGTGAAATGATTTATCAGCTAAATTAAAAATTTGTGGAATTTCTACTTTCACAATATCTAACGTATTACACAGAGTTAGTTCTGTTATCTTATTCACAATTAAGAATTTAACTGGTTCATTAAAAGTGCAGTATTCTGTATTCACTTTCCATCAAGTCCTGTAACAGGCGTTTTAATTTTCTGCCTTTTTATTCCTAAGTATTCACTTATTTTATTTGTAAGAACACAGATATTAGAAGTGCTGTCTAAAATAGCACATATTTTTATTCTTCGATTATTGGCATCATGGAACATAAATTTGTGCAGATGGAAAAATTAAACTTTTTCTTTTTTTTGATTCCGAGTCGCCTTTTGCAGCTATATAGAGCTCAGTTTTGTTTTGTCTAAATGGCATAACTCAGCGAGGAGTCTTCGAGTGACCTTCATTATCCATGCATTTTATTTTATTGTGTTTCTCTCCGCAATAGCATTTAAATTCTGAGAGACACGAACTTTTCTTATGATTTTATTTTAGACATAATTCGCAGAGTTTATGCGAACAAATTAATTTGAATCTTTCATGAACACTTAATTTTAATAACATATCACAAAGGAAAATAGGGTGAAAGTTTCTGAAAGTTTTTATTTTTATTTACATTCATCGAAAGAGCTTTGAGTTTATGGAAAGGAGTAAAATTCTTGCCTAAGATAGTTAAAATCTTAAAGAATTTTATTTTTGTTTGTTATTTCCCTTTCAGAAAAATTATTACATCAGTTTGTGTCTGTTGAAAATTAGATTCAAATTATCTTGTATTTGTAGGTTACAGTTGATGTTGATTATTCGTACTTCAATGATTTTCGGAGAGGGCGAAAACCCAATACTTCCAATTTATGTACAAGAGGCCATACTGGAACATCTGCATCTGCGCCAATAGCTGCTGCAATTTGTGCTCTTGCTCTTGAAGCTAAGTATGTAATTTTCATGTTTTTAATCTGTAATAAGTGCACACATCTGCTTCTCTAAATACTGAAATTAATTAAATATTTTTACTCTTAAATGTATAATATTGTGTATGAAATCAGTATTCATTAAAATCTTCATAGCCTAAATTTTTTAAAAACATTTTATAGCAGAATGTCTGCTTTTTTAACAGTTGTAAACTGGAACTATTTGTATTGATTTTTCTCCATTTTCCATTAAAAGGCATTATATGGTGAATCAGGAATAACAATCTTTTATTTTCAATTAATGGCTTCATAGCTGACTGCAGACTAAAATACTTGTGTTGCAAAATGCAAAAATGTTTCAAAACTATCTTATTTTTTTTTTTTTTTTTTTTTTTTTTTTTTGAGAGAGAGAGAGAGAGAGATTATTAAATTTTGACTGCAGTACATTATGTTATTTATGTAAAAGTACTTGAATGCAGAATTGGTTTAAAAATTGTTTTTGATAAAGGACAATTTACTTATTTATAATAAAATATTGTACTGTGCTTTTATAACAGATAGTTGTAAAAAAATTACAGATGTGGAAGTGGCTTTGATTGCTGTTTGTGAAAGTGTTATCCGAATTAAATGAAACCAGGAAATCTTTATATTTTGTTGTTGGCCTATTAGTTTTATTTATTAGTGTCTCAAGAAGCTATAACAGAATCATGTCTAATTTAATATTGCAGCAGAATATTGTAAAATTTGAGGAAATAACTTATTTGTTCACAGTAAGATGTAAATCAATAAAGTTGATTAAGTTCGATAATTTGATGATGATGAAGGACAGTTATTTTTCTGGGATTTATTGTACCTGAATATACAAGTGAATAACTACCTTGACTAATCTTCTGATTAAAGCAGTTGTGTTCTGCAGTCCATGTGTGATTGAAGCTTTTGTGTCTTGTAATGGATAATTTGATTTTTACTCTGATGACAATGCTTTCATTGTAAAAACTGTATTCTTTGAGATTTTAGTGTAAAACACTTGCATCATGTTCGAGAAATTTGTATTTATTATTATAGTGTATATTGTCACGTATCTCATGTATAAGGTGAGTATATCCATGACAGCTTTACTACGAGTAGGTGTCATTTATCAAGTAAATATTAATTTTATTGGACTGTTGGTATTTAAAATGGCATTGTTTTTAGTGATGGTTTTTGAATGATTCAAATAACTAAAATTTAACATATATCCACTTTTTTTAATTTATATAATTTTAATGTAAATGTTTGCTGTAAAAGATCAAAGAATTAGTGAGGAGACAAAACGTTTTTATTTTTTAAAGCATGTATTGAAATACTCTTTAAACAGAATATTTTAGAGCTTTAAAAACCTTTTGAGCCTGTAGAGAATATCACACCAAAAGGGTTAAAAAAATTTTTTTTTTGTACGATATGACTGTACTGTAAAATGGCATTTAAAGTGCTATCATTTGCATCAAAATTATAGAATTGTAGAATAATAATTAATCATAATTTCTTTGTCCTCTAACATTAAGTTCATTACAAAATGTCCCTCTACTAATTAGTGGTAATGGATTTTGTCACTCTACTAATTAGTGGTAATGGATTTTGTCCTGTTTGTCCATTTTCCAGAATTATGATAGAAGTTAAAAGCTTAAGAACAAAGCAATCCTTGATTGAAATCTTTCAGTTCTTCTTTTGTTTGAATTCTCGAAGCAGTTCCACAAAACTTAGTCTTGAATTTACTGTTATTATTTAAAAATATATTAAATTTACAGCATTTTATTTAAATTTCAATTTAATGTATTTTTGGGAGTCTCTTAATATTTTTAATGCAAAAAATGATATTGTAATATAAGTTTCTTATATTTTACAGCCCAAAACTTACTTGGAGAGATATGCAATATTTAATTGTTTTGACTTCAAGATATGAACCTTTGTCTAAAGAAGATGGTTGGGTTACAAATGCTGTGGGAAGAAAAAGTAAGCTTCAGAAGGTTACCATGTTATGCATTTAAATATAAAGTGATACAAATACTTTATGAACATTAATTTTATGAAATTTAATTTTTGTAAAAAGTGAACTTGATACTTTTTCTTGGTTGAGAAAGAAATCCCAGAAGAATTTTTCCTTTTCAGTGAAGCATGGGAAAAAATGAAAGTATGGTTCAGCATTACTTTTTGGAATTTTAAGTGAAAAGTATGACTAATTATTATATGGCTTATGTGTTTAAACTAGTTTTTGAAAATTGTTTTAACTACCTGCAAAGGGATTATATAGCAAAATCTGCTAGTGGCAGCCAAGTCAAGGAGGCATTGAAACTGTATACAAAGAAAGAGCTTTTATGGACACAAATGACAGTGATATTTTAATAACTGATTTTTTCTTCTGTGCCCTGTAATATAGCTCTTATATATTCCACTACTGTATCTCTGACAGCTCATTGCATCGCTGTTACTGCTGTCTCTTTTGATCATCTAATGTGCTTGCTTCCTTTTGGTGGTTGAAACCATCTTGCATCTGATGTTTCTGTCGATAGAGTTGTTTAACATGTCATTACTTTTTTTCAGCATTATTTAAGATTCTATGCATCTTTGCTTTAAAAAAAGAAAGGTTTCACAAGGGTTGTTCTACTTTTGTAAAGGAGGGTAACCCTGTTCTGTTCTTGTTTTATTTATGAAATATGGAAACCTCTTTATGTAAGTAAGTAAGTTTCATTTTTTATTTAACTGATTTTTACATTGTGAAAATATATGTTAGTGGTTTAAACTTTTGATTATGTGATTTGAAAGCTTTATTATCAAATATAAAAAAGTAAAGAAAGGCATTTGCTAGATACAAATTTTACCTTCAAAAACTTATGAAATTTATTTAAAAATCTTATTTCTCAGTTTCTATCCCAAACGTAGTTATGCATTAATTTAGAAGTCAAACCACAAACATCAGCATTATATTTGCAAATTTTCACAGTATATGCATGTATAATTTGTATTTCTAGTGTGTATCAATCTTTAATTAATAGTTTTTCATATGTAACATTTTCAAGTTTAAATATGATGAAACCGAACCACTGTCCTCAACTGCAAAAGTGGGGGTTGGGGGGGAAGCGCTTTTGCGGTGGAGGATGGTGGTTTGGTAAAACCATCGAAACTAGTTCAGTGAAAATTTGAAAATATAACCCTGATTTTTGTTGTTTGACTTCTGAATCCTTTTGAATGTAAAGCACCATTGACATTGTATTTGAAAAAAGTCGTGCATTGACAATGTGATGAATTTTCATAAAGAATTGAGTTTCATTCAGTACTTAGACAGTGATCTATAACATAGTAGTAACAAATTCCAGTTACCACTGATTTTCTCCGTGATTCTATCTCTGTTTGTAACCTTCAGATTAACAAATATTGACCAGAATCCTTTCTCAGAACACTCAAGAATGATGAACTTGGAGATAATACTACTAAGGCTTATTCTGTCGATTCCCAACTGGCAAAGAGTGGTCTGAGCTTTCGTTATTTCATGAAATTAGATGTATACATGTTGATAAAAGGAAGAAAGTCCTCAAATGAAGACCAACCTCAAATGAAGACTCAGAGGAAGAACTCAACAGATGAAAAACAATATCCAACAGTAATTCATGTATGCTGCTTCTTCTTTGCAGCAATCATGCTGAATTATTTTAAATTGCGCCCTTCAGAATATCATGCAAAGAGGGAGGATCTTGAATAGCCTTTTTTTTTTAATCTGTGCATTGAAAACACACTCCTGCCACTAAGTATCAAGTATAGTGTGAAGTCGATGGGCATAGACCTTGTCCTCCTTCAAATAAGCGTGTAGGAAAAAAATCAGGTGAGCATGGAGACTATTCAACATCTCTAAAATGAGAGATGACATGCTATGTAAACAATCCTCAGATAATAGCCATTGACTTCTAGTGTAACATGTGTGAGTTCTCTGCTGCCCAGTATCTTAAGTTCTGCTTGTTGACATATTTGTTTGGATGAAAATGAGCTTCTTCAGACATTATCAAATGATCTAGGAATTGTGATGTTTCTTGATGGCTAATTTAAATCATCTGTTTTTGGCCCTCCTATACACAAGCACGAAAATTAAACTTTCCTGATCATTTTTATTGTAAGATGATTTAGTTTGATCTAAAGAGTGTTTCAAGCTTCATGAAGTGACTGTCTAAAATATACATTGCCCTATTTTATTGTGTAAATTATGCACCAAAGTGTCTTTTATTAATGCAATTACTTATTTGTTTATTTTTTGCAGTTAGCACAAAGTTTGGATATGGTTTAATGGATGCTGTTGCCATGGTGAAATTAGCGAAATCATGGAAAACTTTACCTAAACAACATATTTGTTATTCACTTCCAGATACTGTAGAAAGGTAAGATTAGTTACAGTTCTTATATAAATTGCACCAAATTTTTTTGGGAGGGGGGCTCATTCGTCAACAAGTTTGCTGCATATATGCTTACTTGCATGAAATATATGTTTTTAGAATGTGTTGATTTTTTAATATTTTTGTCTGCTGGAAGCCATTAAGTAGCATCACTGTGCATCTTTTTTTATCACAGCAGTTTTGATGTAGACTGATGAGCACTTTCTTTTCTTGAATATTTAAAATGGCCAAGTTAGATAGGCAGTCCATGTTTCTTGAGCAAATATGATCATTCTTTTCAAGTTAATCCTGTGGAAAAAGAAAACCTTTTCCATAAAAGGAATTGGCACCCTTTGCTGCATAGTAGTTCTTCATAGAGAAATGTTTTTCCTCTTCATAAAGCTGCTGACCCATCCTTGAGTAGCTTTAATCTAGAATTTCCATTCAATATGCATATTGTTAAAATAGTCTGATGGCCTGTATGTACTCCTGATATCCCACTTTTTAAATGTGCTTCCTGAAACAAAGTTGTGGATAATGGATTTTTCTGTTTTTTTTGGGGGGGGGAGTGGGGATGCAGCTATGAAACACTCCTGGTCAGTAATCATATTTGATCCGTTTTTATTATGATGTTACTGTTTATATCTCTTTTGGTTAATAAGTCTGGATAGTGGTGACTGGTGTAGTAAACAGAGTTGTTACATTGTAAACAGGGAAGAGGGAGATGAAGTTTTACCTTTTATTGATTTATTTGTAAAGTGTTGCTGGAGAAAGAAAATATGTAGTTTGTTTTGTTATTTCTGTTTTAGTCATGTACATCAGTGGTGTTCAAACTGTGTTCCATGAAACCCAGGACTCTGTGCATCAAATCCTGGGATTCCACTAGTCAAAAGATCGTCACAAGATCATATTTGTATGTTCCAGAGTATTTCTAATAATATGTTGGGTTTTCTGAAATTTGTGCTGTTGGTGGATTTTTCTTTTCCTTAACGTTATCTTTCGCAGATGTTTTATGTTAATTCTTTATGTGGTTGTTTCGTAAAAATTATTTTGGAGAAACCCTGCTGTATAGTAATGGCAAAAAAAGCCTGTAGTTCAAATATTTTACGATGATCGTGCTATTATGTGGATAAAGCAGTGCTAACGTATTCCAAAAGTAGATTCCTTTTCTGTCTTGTGTGTTATTGATGTAGATTTCTAAATATTTATTTAGCTGTTGTTCTTGAGAGATTGAATAATGGAAATTGTATATGGTAGAAAGACAAGGAAATTAAGTGATTCTCAGTTTGGAAGATTTGTTTGATTTAATAATTTAAAAGTTTTTTTTTTAATTTTATTTTATTCTTTATATCAAACGGCAGGCATTTGCCTTTCTAGCATTGACCACTGCTAAGGCTTAAAGTGGTGGCCATTATAGCATGGAAGCACCTAATAGGCAGCCGCTGTTACCTCCTGTGAGGGGACAGACAACTTACATCCATGCCTTCTCCGGGTTTTAAACCCATATCGCAGACGGATTTCCTAGCCACTATACAAGTTTAAAAGCAGTTTAAAAGTAATCTTATCATTTTGGCTGTTCTGTGCTTCTACTTTTGCCAGCTTTAACCAGAATATGAATTAGTTTAAAATATAAACACTGAGTTAGTTTCAAAGTTTATTGAAGAACATTTGTCAGCTTAGCCTAACAACATATGTATTTATTTATTACTGCTACATGCTTGCTGCCAAAGATTTTGCTATTTGCTTGCTGACAAAGATTTGTGTCCTGTGCTTCTTCAAAAGTAATTGATCAGGGAGAGCCGCTGTTTAAGTTAGTTTGATGAGACTGTAAATTATCTTCAGTTTACTCTGATTTTGATAATAGTGAAATTGACAACAGTGAGACTGATATATTGACAAATATTTTAATTTTGAATTTTACTTTAGTTATGGTACTTCCTGCTAAGAAGTAAAATCAGAGGAAAATCCATTCGACTATCTTTTACGTTTTCTTTTAGCATAACCATGTCAGTTGTATCACAGGTTGAAAGGGCAACTTTTGAAGATTAAAAGAATCTTCTTTCTCTTCAGCAGTTTATTGCCTGACTAACCGAAAACCATAAGAGAAGAATACTACTTTAAAAAAATTTTTGATAAATTACTGTCAATATCTTCATATTCATCTGAAACGGTGTGAATTTAAAATTTTTGCATTTGCTTTAATCTGAATGGATTTTTATCATAGTTTCTATCATATTTGTTGTCAAAAAACTGTAACTAAAATTTTTGATATTTTTTCTGCATGGAGAAAAATAATATTTGAGCAACATTCATGCTTTAGCTTTGTTGTAAAATATATCACAGAGTTTGTGATAGTATTAAGAAAATTGAGAATGATGTTCTTTCCTAAAATGTACCAAGTTTATTTTAACAATCCATAAAAATTACAATACAGAATCTTCTGCCTGCATTTGCGTACATTGTTTTTTTTGGGGGGGTGGGATAATATTCTTTCTCTCATTCCAGCTATTTACCACCTGTCAGTTCAAAAGTCTGTTACTTTTAATTGTCTAGCAAATTCCTTGGCTTTTCTCACTAACATTGCTCAGCTGCTGGGAGTGTTCTTCAGTTGGACATATGAAATCCATTGTCAGAATCATTTTAAGTGCCCCACAACAAAACTCTTAAAATTTGGAAATGTTGAGAAGGTGAAGAGCTGACTGTCATTCTCAGAGAGAAAAGATGGTGTGTTTTGCCATTATTAAATTTTTTTTTTATTATTGTTGATACTCAAATGTGAAGGGGATACAGAAATAGATTTTTGGTGCTTTTATATTTCCTTGCAACTCTATAATCAAACATAGAAATAGAAAGAATGGTTCTGCAAATAAATGGAGCATGTGTGTCAAATGGAAGGTCTAGATCTCAAAATTAATGACTTAAACTATTCAAGATAAAATTGAGAAGAAAACTAGTTAGAGAGTAATTTTAGAGTTTATGCTTCTGGTAGAAAAGAATATTCTTTTAACAAGTGATTATGAGGAGATGGGGAAATCCAGTTAGTGGAAACACTTTAGTAAAAGTTGATATCCAAATATGTTACAATTGAATGAGCATGTTCATTAAGCAACAAAATCTAAGAGACTGGTTATGTACTTGGGTAAGCATATTCAAAATGAAATAATTAAGAGTAATTTTCCAATGAAATTGCCTCTGTTATGAAAAGTACCACAATCAGAAATTATTATTATTTAATAATTCTAGACTACATACCATCTGTAACGTCACAAAGAATAGTTGCATGAAATTTTAACACTCATGGATGTATTTTGCAAACCAATTTCAATTGAAAAACTTTCTTTTTGGATTCTGGAAAAGGTCTTGTAAAGTTACATCACATGCCAAAATTTTCTCCATATTTTCATGTAGATGCAATTTTATTGTTATATATTTGCTGTCCTATGTTGATTTGCATAAAAAACGATCCATGGGAAAGTTTATTTACTCCAAATAGCAGAAATACAATAGCCTGTAAATCATTACAGTGATATCAGTGGTAGTCTTTGTAGTGTGTGTTTTGAAGTAGTGCTTGAGTTTGTAATTAGTCTGTTTCATGTTCTCAGTGTAACTATGGGAATGGTAGGAAATGTATTCGCATTGAAAAGTAAAACTGCTTTTATCCTTCCAAAAGTTATGCATATGATGACTGCCCAAAGGTTGTGGATATCTATAAAATTCCACATTGAAAGGATACTTTGCGATTCACAGTGCACAAAAATGTCTGCCAACTCATGATGAATCTAATTTCGGGTTGAATGCACATTCAAGACAAAAAAGCAGTCAAGAGTACAAAGTGAGCTAGAAATATAACTTACTCATAGGCATTTTGGAGAATTTCAGGGATTTAGTGCCAAACTCTCACTGCTTGGAGGGTTAAACTTATTTAGATGAGGCAATAAAAATCTGTTTTCCAAGTTATATAACAGCTTAAATTCAGTCATTCATTCATGACTGCCATGAAAATAATATTTTTGCTCACAGTTATTAATATTTTTTTTTACTTGATAGGATCATAACTTGGAATTTGAAAACAATACCTTTTCCACTTAAAAATGTTGCTTTTCAGTAAAAACAACATTTCACAAAAATGGTGGTTGGTGAAGCATCTTTAGAGCCATAATCAAACCAAACAAAACGATTTTAGGGCCGTTATCAAAATAAACAAAGATAGATTTACGCAAAATAACCACTGGGCTTTTTATAGAAATGATTTTGCTAATGAACAATGTAATTCAAGAAGCTACTTCCCTTCTTATGCAACAGATTTAAGTTAGTGTATTTCTTTTCCTATTTCATGCATCTTTATTCTGAGTAGATGAGGAATTAATTTCTTGTTAAAAGTTATTAGTTGTCCTTCAACACTCCCATATTGTTCTTAAAGATTGAATAAATTTTTATTTCTTCAATTAATTATAGTAAAACACATGAATGCTATGTTCCTAAGGAGAATCTGGCTCATATTCACATTACGCACGGGAAAAGCCATGAAAATGACATTGCAGTCAGCCTGTTTACTTTGATTTGAGCTCTGGTCAGTCTGTCAGTATTTAGTGTCTTGTCCACTTACCTCATTAATAAATGAATGCTTGATTATTTAATGAATTTAATGTTAAGATTTCTAATTTAACAAAGAGTTATAAGATTTTTGGGTATTAACTATCTGTTTCTGTGTAATAGTGTGAATTTATAGTTGTGCCATGTTATTAATAATAACTTCAGATATTAATGATTTGGACATTTAGTGTGGTAAAAGGTAAGTGTGATAAAATCAGCTGTGTGCATTGGAGAAATATTCAGCTTATTTATTAGTGTAATTGAAAAAGAAATGCTATTTTTTTTTTTTTTTTTTTTTTTGCTATAATACCAAAGTGTAATAAATACAATGTCAATTGTATCCATTAGAATTCTGACAGATCGTATTAGAGAGATAACATGTTTCATGTTGCACATACAACTGGAACTCCTCAAAGTTTTACATAGAACTTTTTAATGTTTCTTTGTGGACAGTTGCATTTTCTTCATGACTGGCAATTTTCAGCTTGTCTACTGTATGGGGTTTATGAGCTGGACATTTAATTTGAGGAAACCTCACAGAAAGAAATGACTAGCAGACAAATCTGATGAGTGTTGAGGCCAAGGGACATTGTAAAGAGATCAGATTACACATTGGGAAAACATTTTTCAAATAATTTACATCGTAGTCCCTGCTATGTGGGCTGTCTCTCCATCTTATTGGAACCAAGTTTCTTCCACATTCGATGGATACAAAAAATTGAATAGTATTTGGAGGTAGCACTTTGAATCACCGTTACTCCTTCTGCTTTTGACACTGTTTACACTACTACTCTCACTGCCCCTGAAACAAAAGGTCAATTTCCATTTTTGAAATGCCACAACTTAGCACAATGAGGAGTTTCTGGTATAATTCTCAAGGGTTCTGTGCTACATCAAATCAATAGTTTTGCTTATTGACATAACCATCCAAATGGAAATGAGCCTCATCATTCAGCATCAATTGTAATATTATGAGAAGCAATAATTTTAAGCATTCTTTCACAAAAGTCTACATTTGACAAAATAACTTTGAAGCAGCTTTTTGACAATCATAATTTTGTATGGATAGAACTTCAAATTGTCATATAAAATCTGCCATAATGAGTGACAAGACAAATGCAAAGATGAAGCAAGATGCTTAGTGGAGGATTCTAGAGAACCGATGTTTGTATGCACTTGGCACAATTTGGTGTTCAGACTGTACAGGAACGGCCAAATGATATCTTCTTCGTAACCAATCCATTTATGCTAAATAATTCAACCCAGCAGAGTATTGCTTGAAATCAGGAATCATCCCATCATGTGCAACATTAAATTGACAATGGTAAAAATTTTGGGTACTAATAACAGAACTGGTATTTCTAGTGAACTTCTTGACAGTGCTTACAGGATACTCTACATTCCATTGGGTCCACCAGCGGCCAAGCGGTAAAGTTGCTGAACACTGGTAGTTCGGTCGGAGTTTCGAATCCTACGAACGGGCTGGCTGCATGGTCGTTTTCATGGTTTTCCCCATGTGTAACGTGTATACGAGCCAGTTTCCCTTAGAAAGTCCTCCACGAAGGCATCCCTCCCCTTAGGCAGATAGCCCTTGAGGCTTTGCCATAATCACACACACACACATCCTCCTCTACATTCCATTGCAACTCGGTTACTAAAACTGAAACCTCTGAACTACTTGTAGGCAGGTAGGAAACTGGTGTTGATCTTCACTTTCCCAGATACTATTTCCCAGTTTCAAAATATATTCTTTTGCATCATCCTATGTAGCAGTAACTGAAAAATAATATTTTTTATTAACGTTCTATGAAGAAACTATTAAAAGGATGAAGTCAGTAAGTTAGCCAATGATTTTAATATCATATTGCCAATTAGTATCATATCATTAAAAGTTTTGCTAATAAAATGCAAATATGCACAGAAGCTGGATTTCATAAATTTGTTAGATATTAAATTACATTTTTTGGGAGGAGCCATGTTATCTGAATTGCAAGAAGTATGATAAGATTTTTCTGGTTTGTATAATTTCATTGCTTAAAATAAATAAGAACATGCAAATTCTTATATCTTGAATGTAAACACATTATGAACGTTAATTGCATTAATGGTAAAAACAGTTGATAAGTTATTCATGTCAGGTTTGGAGGAATAGCTGAAAAGTTTCTCCATTATGCTTTTTCCTATTGAGTTTAACTTTTATGTGTGCTTTTGCTTAATATAAATAAAATTCAGGCCAATAAAAGAGGATGAATAAAAGTATTTGTTTCAAAGCATAATTAAAAGCAAAGTTAAATTACAAATATCTATCAGCTATTTATCTTCCTTTTTACTATTTTGCATATTTAATGTTATCAGAACAAAAAAATGCTGAAAAAGAGAAATTTATCAACCTACAATTTTTATTCCGAGAAAAGTTCAATCTTGTTTATTCTCATAAAAGTGCAAACTTTATTACTGACCTGAATGTTGGTTTTATGAATGTTCATTGTGTATTTTGAATTTTAGTTCTTAAATCTTATATTCTATATCTTGGACACTACCCTTAATAAAAGGAGTGCCTGTGGCTGTATTTACAAATATTGTGTGTTGTAGTTGTATATGAAAGGAAAGTCTGCTTTAAGTGCAATATACATGTGGTTTTTAATTTACTTAGCATTGCATATTCAGAATAAAAAATCATATCCAGTAATGCCATGCTTAAAATACCTAATATAGGTCAAATCAATCAACATTTTTAATTCACAGGCATCATTTATGCCTTATAAGTTTGTGCATGATGATTAAATTATAATAAATGTCTACTTTTGTCCAAAAATTATTTGAAAATGTAATAAGCATACTGTATATTATAGAATTATACCTGCTGGTCACGGAGAGAAACTTGAAGCAAGCATGAATACCTCTTGCAAAAATTCAAAGAACCCTGTTATGTTCCTAGAGCATGTGCAAGTGAAAATAACTCTTACTTTTCATCCTCGGGGAAATTTACGTATAATTTTGATTTCTCCTTCTGGAACCCCTTCAGACATTTTACTTCCAAGGCCTCGTGATAAGCAGGAAGGAAGCTTCAAAGATTGGCCTTTTATGTCTGTTCATTTCTGGGGAGAAAATCCTGATGGAAACTGGAAACTTGTCATAGTTAATGATGGAAACCTAGTAACAAACATACCAGGTATTTTTCTGATGTTTTTTATAATTTATAATTTGTAGAAAAAAATCTGCATTTAGCTGATACTTTTTATTATAATTGCTGTAATTTTTATATGTATGAGGTGGTATCAAAAGTTTTGCAACTAGTTCTATAACATGCTAACAGCAGTGCAAGGTTACATGCATAGACATGGAGAGCATCGACCTTCATAAATCAGTGTATCACGCAGCATTGTCCTGTATACATCGGAAGCTGCGTAGCTGGCACTATATTGACCATATGCATTGCAACATCTGTGATTTCATCATGGGCAGCAGACGAGCAAACTTGAAATTCTGTGTAAAACAAGGCAAATTCACCACAGAGATCCTTAACATGATTCACCAAGTGTACAGCGATGCTGCAATGAGTCATTCAAGGTGTTCTGAGCAGCATGTGCAGTTTAAGATTGGAAGAACTTCATTTGAAGGCGATGAAAGATCAGGATGACCGTCAGCTAGCACAACACCTGTAAATGTGTACAGGTATGAAGGGTAAGCAGATCTTGTCTCGGAACGTTTTGACATCACTTCGTATATTTGTTATCTACGCATGTTTTTGGTGTTATTTTTGGTGAGATTAGAGTATGAAAATTGGTATATGTATCTCGTATGTTATAAAACATGCTTAATTTGTATAAGTTATCAAGTAGCTCATTGAGTCGGTTTGTAAGAGTAAGAATGTGAAATATTTTATAGCACAGTGATTGGAAATGCTGGAAGTAAGTTTTTCATTTTCACCAAGATAATAAAGCTTGATGTATCATTGCTTAATGGGATACCACTTCATACTGTTAACCTCTTAATGCATTCAACCAAGTTAATTCGTGTACACTGAACTAAATTATTTCTATGCACTGACGTAAACATGCTCAAGAATTTTTTTTTCAGGTATAAATACAACAGAATATATCTGCTATGTTTGGTGTGGTGTATTTAATTATGGCAAAGCACACTAGGGCTATCTGCCTAAGAGGAGGGATGCCTTTCGTGGAGGACTTTCTAAGGGAAACTGGCTCGTATACACGTTACACATGGGGAAAACCACGAAAACACCCATGCAGCCAGCCCGTTCGCGGGATTCGAACCTCATCTGCTATGTTTGAGTTAATGAAAGAGGTTCAGTTAAAATAAGGAATAAGAAAAATTGGTGGGATGAAGACCACTTTCTGAATTTTTACTGATGCATTAAATGTTTAAAGTTAACATGGGCAAAGAAAAATTGTTCTAGAATCAAAACATAAGATAAAGGTAATTCACTCTTCGTGTGCCTTCGTTCTTTCATGAAACTGCTTCAGTTTCTGAGTTGGAAATGCTTAAAGTGTATTTAAATATCTATGAAACTTTACAAATTTTGTTTTATGGTTCTGTGTTGTTGTGTCTATATTAACATGGCCAAAGAAAAATTGTTCAAGAATCAAAACATAAGATAAAGGTAATTCATTATTTGTGTGCCTTCATTCTTTCAGAAACATAGAGTTGGAAATGCTTAAGGTGTATTTGAATATCTATGAAACTTTAAAAAACTGTTTTGTCCGTATTACATGGAACAATGGTTGCCAGAGCCTATTCCGAAGAGAGTTATGGTTCTGTCCATTAATGGATTGGATTGGATTATTTAATTATGGCAAAGTACACGAGGGCTATCTGCCTAAAGGGAGGAATGCCTTTGTAGAGGACTTTCTAAGGGAAACTGGCTCATATACACATTACACATGGGGAAAACCACAAGAACGCCCATGAAGCCAGCCTGTTTGTGGGATTCGAACCTCGGACTGAACTACCAGTGTTCAGCGTCTTTACCGCTCGGCCACTGGTGTGCCCTGTCCATTAATGAAATAAGTTAAAAGTGCAGTAGTTACTTTTTGAGCAGGAAAACTTCTTTACTTTGCTACACAGTGTATTAGATATACTTTGATTACCCAAATTATCTCTGCATGCATGAAATTTCTCAGAAACTGTTTATAAATTGATTAAAATTATTGAAGGTTGTACACAGTATCAAATACATACATGTAAGCCAAAGAATGAAGAACATACAACATAAAACCATGTTTTGAAGGAAACAAAACTGAAATAATATGTAAGAGCAAGATTTTAGAATGTGAGTACCTAAGAAATAAATACACTCTTCGGGAAAGTGTTGTTTAACTTATACATACATAACACAGGGAAATATCTTACTCTCAGGAAGGTGGTTAATCAGAATTCACGTAATTAATTCCTGTCATTTGTCAATATGGGCTTCAAGACACAGGTATATATAGGATGAAATTTTGTTGTAAAATAATTCTTCCAATGGTGTTTCATAAGTTTCCTGTGAGTTTCACACCCAATTTCTCCGGCCACTTTATTTGCTCTGTACCATTAAACTGTTCATGAACTAATTACTTGATGTGAATGAAAGTCATGATAAATAAAATCACAAAGCCATTTGAGCATCTAAAATGCATTAGGACTCATGTGAATGTAAGACTTCATGTCAAAATCTCTGGACTGTTATAGATGCTCTGCTGAACATATGTATGGTAGCCTATTCTTTCTTTGTTATTCCTTTCATGGTGTCACATATTCACAGTTGTCTGAGCCATTTTCCATAGTGTTAGTACGATTATTTCATGCTCCTGGCTACTTCCAATATAAAAGCATTTATATTTGAATATGACACTGAACTTGGATTTGTCTATGAATTGTCTATGAAGAAAACACTGGCCCATTATAGTAGACATCAGTTGTGAGCTGTAGAGCAGTTTGTATGGGTCTGGGTCTCACTAGTAGCCTACTTGTTCGTATCTGGTAATTCAATCCAAATATTGTGGTAGTTTGAATCAAGGTGAACAAACTGGCTGTATAGGTGGCTTTTGTGGTTTTTCCTATGTGTAATGTGAATATGAGCCACTTTCCTTTAATCCTGTTCTTTTCCCTTATGTAGAAAGCCTCCAAGACCTTGCAATATTCAAATAACATAACCTATTCTGAGATGGGTCATCTTTGGATGCAAAGTCTTGAAACCCAATTGAGTAGGTTTTTTTCATAAAGTTTTTCTTGTTTTTAAAGTATTTGAAAAATAATTCATCATAAAATTATTAGTATATACTTTTTAAAAATATTTTCATAACGTACCTATGTAAACTATCTTGTATTTTAGTTTTTTTAACGATATTTTCTTTAAATAAGTTTTTATAAATTAGAGATACATTTGCTTTTTAACTTGTTTCAACAAGATTAATTTTTATAGCCTATGACATGAGTATATTTAGCCAATGCATCCACTTTTTTTAAAAAAAATCTCCGAAATATTTCCTTATTTTTACTTTTAAAGCTGTATTAAATCTTTTACCTGTCACTTTTTTCTGCCTTACCGGCTGTAAACTACTGTTTTTTTTATTATCCTTAAATAGTTTACGAGTCTGTTTTCTGGTAAATTCTCTTCCTTTGTTTGTTTGAAGTTTATCTGGAATTCTTTCTTTAACTATTCTTAAAAGGCATTGATAATTACTGCCCAATTTTTCTTTTAACTTGAATAACCAATGCATATTTACTAAAACAGCTTTAATCAACATGTAATTATTATTATTATATGATGTGGACCTTTACATACCAAATAAACTTGCCATTCATCATCAATATGATATATATAAATTCTTAGATGTTTTCAAATTATGGGATTATATTTCATATAAAAATTTTGTTCACATAAAATTCTAAGGGGAAATTGAATATGGGAATCAAAAAGAAATATGAGAATAATTGAATTTATCAAATCAAAAAAGATCTACAGCAGTGGTTTCCAAACTATACTTCTCAAGAGTTCCAGTGTGTACTTCCCAAAGGATCCACTGCCCCCTAGATTTAAAATAAATAAAAAATACTGAAATTAAATAATAAGAAACAAGAAGTAGAACTAAAATAAGAAAACGGAAATTATATTCTGAATGGATATTTCTTGAGCTCAGTTTTGTAGCAGAGGACACATCTGCTACTACTAGTTTCAGAATTATTATAACAAGAGATGGACAGAGATACTGAGCAAGATGACAGTCTATCATGCATACTCAACTGCATGCCATGGTATAATTACCATTGCTGGAAATATATCTCCAAGTGATTTCTTGGAACTGCATACTAAGGAAGATTTTTTACCCTTCAAAAATTCCTGGAATATACGTAAAGCTTCTAAAAAATTAGCCTCATAAATACTGAGACTGGCTAATTGATTGGGAGTCACTTCAGAGCAAAATTTTCAGAGATGATGTATTTTCTTAATGAATCCTCTACAAGCATATTGTGTGTTTGACCCCTTTATGTGGTTTAGTTGTGTATTTATTATGGTTTATTTAACTATCGCAAAACACTCAAGGGCTATCTGCCTAAGGTAATGGATGTCTTCATGAAGGACTTTCTAAGGAAAACTGGCTCTTATACATGTTACACATGGAGAAAACCATGAAAGCGCCCATACAGCCAACCTATTTGTTGGGATTCGAACCTGGGACCGACTACCACTGTTCAGTGACTTTATACCTCGGCTGTTGGTTGGCCTTTGTAGTCAATAAGTGTTCATTAATAAAGTCCTGTGTTTTGGTCTACTTATACATTCAAATTCTGAAATATTAATATATATTTCTGGTAAAGATACATTCACTATTGATAGACTCAGATGCATTTATTCATTTTCCAGTAGGCAAATATCTGAATTTTATTATAAAATATTAATTTGCTTTATTTTGTATTCTGTTTTATAAAAGAGAAATTCTATTCAAAATTAGGCAGGAAAAAGAGAAATTCTATAAAAGAGAAATTCTATTCAAAATTAGGCAAAAAGCCTTAGTTTGGCAAAGATTTTAAATCAATTTTGAGGTCAATCAGTCATAGGCCCCCTTTCTTTAAGAGTAAAATGCTCCCAAAATTGATTATATGCAAAATCTGCTATATAATAAGGATGCTTTTTACTTAAACCCCAAGTGGTATGACTACCTTTATCCCATCAGGAATTTGTCTCTTGGTATATGTTAGCTTATAAATTAAAGTACTAGAATAGCTTTCTTAATGAAATAAATATCATCTTAATAAATGAAAGTTTATGAAAAAAGACACTAAAATAAGAATTATATAAATTTAGCTAATAGATGCTGTTTAAATACAGATCTTCATGAAAAGAATCAAAAAGGCCATGCGACTCAAGAGGGGTAATTTAAAATTGTGCATTGTTGTGTTTCATCCAGGCAGCCTAAAAATCAATTTTCAGGTTTTATCTGTGAAAGTGCAGAAAGATTGAAAAATTCAATGATGTGCAGAACAAGGATCATAAAATAACTTTGTGTCAATCAAGGATCATAAAATAACTTTTAACGTGTCATCTAAAGCATCATAAATAGTTTTAAAAATATTATCGACAAACCCTCCTTTTATGTAAATCTATTCTCAGCTTGAGCAACTGAATATGACTTGAGTTAAAGATGCTTTTATTATTTTGGAATAATATCATTTCAGTGTTTGAGTCACCTTCTGATAATTATAAGCCATAGCATTATTCCAGTTCACAGCAACTAAGACAAGAACTTTTGCGTCTTTGTGAACATCCATATTTTTTTCATATTCAACAGATTGAGGCTAAATCAGCAAATTTTTTTTTTTTTTTTTTTTTTTTTTTTTTTTTTTTTTTTAAGATGCGAGCACTTTGATGCAAATTCACTGTTCTTTTATAAAGATGCTTATCCTTTGTGTAAATAATTCTCCATTAAGGAGGCTTGTTTTTTTTAAACCCCTTGTATAATAAATTATTTAGTGAAGCAAATGAAAATTGGACATAGCAGTGCTTTAACCTAAAACTGCTTGCAGTCTGATGAAGATTGCTTTCTTCAAGTTCCATCTTTGTGAAGGTGCAGGCCACTTACGCCCGGGCTGTTATTTTTGAGAAGAGATGGGTCTGAATGAAATCTCTGACAAATTTAAGTGCATAAAAATGTAACTGAGAGTTACTGCCATTAGCAAATACGTAAAAGTCATGCAAGATTTATTGTAGATTTGCAGTGTATGCTTATGTGCAGTAAAAAGTATTGTGGTAGTACAGATTTTTTTCTCAATTTTATTATTAATAAGCAGCCTCTTTAATGGTTACATTAAGAAGCTCCTCACTGATGAGCAAGTTCATGTATGTTGTATGTCAAGTGGAAAAACCAAGAAAGAATATTCAAATTGGGTGGGAATTCTAACATCAAAATTGAAGAATATATGTTTAATTTGATAAATTTTTTCATGTTTATATTTGATGTAAAAATAGATGTGAGATAACTTACCGTTGCCATATGTATAAAATATCTTTTGAATTTTCTGCATAATTGTGTTAATTTTTTACATCTTCTTTATTTTCTGTATTTCAAGTTGTATGTAAATGTTGTCTCATTTAGAGAGAGAATTTACAAATGATGTTTTTTGTAAGACTTCAAGGATGGCTTTCTTTCCTTAAAAAATGTGATAAAATGTCTTCTACTCTCTCTCTTTTTTTTAAAAAAAATGTATATAGATATAAAAACTGAAGAAATCAGATCATAAGCTTTTAGTGGAAATAGGCCACATTTATGAGTTCTGCTGCCTCGTTTTAATGAGATCTGAAATAAGCAGCTGATTTCTCAGATACAGGAAATGTAACTGAGTATCTCTGACCATCTTATTGGTGAGCACAATCTGTAAGAGACTAATTATTCTGGCATTTATTTCTTTATTAGTGTTTTGCTACATATTTATTATGTTTTAAATATTGCATGTAATGAGGAAAATTTTTATGAACACATATAATTATTATAAATCTTTTGATAGGGAAGCTTACAAACTGGTCGTTTGTGTTCTATGGCACTGAAGAGATGCCTTTCTATCTCTCACGTCTGAAGGAGCCTAAAAAGTTGTTGCACACTTCAAAACAAGAACATGCTCATCTTATTCGTGGTGTCGATCAATTCACAGAATTTATATCGGTATGTGTTAGTTGCCTTTCTTATATTTATTATTCTGATATTTTCAGCAATAAAGTAAGATAAATGTAAAAAGTGGATGAATAACTTTTGAATCATGAATGGAAGCTATGGAATTCATGTATTATTAAAGTGACTAAACTTTAGCAGATGATGCTGATGAAAGTACCTGCAATTACAAAATCTGCAGATTAGGTCTACTTTCTGAAAAATGTGAAAGAGACAAAAAAGTACAAATTTGAAAACTGTAGAGCACAAAAAATTAACGGAAAAGGACATCTTTGCAAAGTAAATATAGCAGTTAGTAGTCTGTCAACACATTTTTTTTGTAAATGCTGTTTCGTTCATCTACATGTAGACTATGATGGTTGTGTTATAGTAAAAAGTCCTGTTGATATAAATGTGACATTGACATGCATAAGCAATTCTTGATTATCAGATATTCATGTCTCATGTATTTGTCATTCATATCATGATGCATATGACCATCATCAAATTACTATTTGAGCAAAGAGTGTTTTGGAGATAGCATAGCTTTACTGTGAATTTGGACAAAATGCTGGAGACACTGGTGGCATTTGCGGTTTTCTCTGTGTCAAGCATAATTTTGTCTGCATATGGGTTTGTAACAGATTGAGTGAATACAGAACTGATGATAGCTCAATAAAATTTATCAAAAGGATACTTCACAGTTCTGGGATTTTCCGCAAAATACTCATAGAGCTCTTCACAGTATAAGGTATTTCTCCTACCTTCTTAGTATGCCTTCGTGGTGTAGTGGTCAGAACGCTCAACACAAATTCAAGAGGTCCGTAGTTCAAGTCTGGGTGAGGGCATTGCTCATTTTTCATCTTTCCTGCTTAAAAATAAACCTATTAGTCTCTACAGTGGTGCCCAAACTGAAAAAAAATGGTGGATAATGATTCTCCACCACTAGGACTTGGCGAATGGATCCCCTAAAACCCCAGTTGCCCTTTAAAAAGAGGAGTATGTAAGTTATTTCTCCCTCCTTAGCATGCCTTTGTGGTGTAGTGGTCAGCACGCTCGATGTGTATTCAACAGGTCCGTGGTTCAAGTTCCGGCGAGGGCATAGCTCATTTTTCATGTCTCCTGCTTCAAAATAACTTAATGTCTCTACAGCAGTAGTACAGAGTACAATCAGTAGTTGCACTTCAAACTTTTAAGAATGTTAAACACAATGTAATAAAGGCACATCTAAAAGGCAAAGCTGTCACGAATATCTTAATACTCCAAACTCAGCTCTGAACTAACAGCTGCTCAGAAATTGATAAATTGATGCTTTTCCCAGTCTTATATAATTTTCTCCTAGCTGAGAGATTTCTAGTACTTTTCCTTTCTTGAAATTACTGGAAGACATATGATGGCCAGATACGGTTACAACTACATACATATAGCATCAATTACAGTTATTGAATTACAGTGCCCATTACAGTTATACTTGGACCAGACCAAAGTGTCACCACATGATCGCAAATTTCCTCGACGTTTGACAATCTCTCAACATTATTCAATCTCTCAACCGGTGTTAGGACTTGCCCCTGTATTATTTTTCTGACAAAGCTTCACTTTTTAGATTCTCTGGTTACATTATCCAAAAATAAATATTGTAATTTCACTAAAATTATTTACATACATACAAAATTCGTAACATTGCCTCTTTCTGCCCATTTGTAGATATGATTGTACTACCCATCCCATGCAGTACAATCAATGGACAGCAACCCATACTTACAACTAAAGAAAAATCAGTACAATACTAAAACAATATTTTCAAATCAAATACTAGTTGATGAATGTATGCATGAATTTACGGATTTTTATACACTGGTCATCAAAATTAAGGATAATGAGAAAAAAATATGCTCACTAAGTTAATGTTACAACCAGTGCCCATTGCTGTAATTATTTATGTTAGTTAAATACAAATGAGCACAAAATTCCACTTTCATGCATATGCTAGCATCAAAAACATGCAAACTTGGTGATTGAAAATGTGGTGCACAGTGGATGCATGTTGGAATTTTCATGTGTAGTGTTATTTAAAGTGAATTTGTTTCAGAGAGTGATCAGTATTTTGTAGTTATGGTTCAAAGGCATTATTTAAGTGAAGGTCAAATGTTGCGAATAATTGGTAGAATCAAGGGAGGACAAACACAGATAAAAGTCACCCAAGATTTAAATATCCTTAAAGTGTCATATCAAGAGTTGGAGACCCTTTTTAAGCTCTGGATCTGTTGATAGACAGGCTAGTAAAGGGCGACCAAGAGCAACAACTGCATCAGAAGACCATTTTTGGTCATTGTTGGCTCCAGGAAAATGTGAAGCGACTACAAGAGGTTCAGTTTTAGACCTTCACACTGCCACAAGAACTTGAATTAGCTATTCTACTGCTGAGTGATGGCTTAACGAGGTTGGACTATATCAAGAAAAACAATGGTTTGTGTCCCACTCACTTGATTTTAGAGGGGCCCACTTAAACTGGTGCCATTGCCGTGCTCAGTGGAGCCAAGATAACTGGGCCCAAGTATTATTCAAATATATTCTGAATAGTGATTGTAGATATGTTTTGATCTGGAGAGAGGAAGGAACATACAACTTGCCTTCCCTTGTCTGTGAAATACCTCTTTTCCATGACTACTTTTTGATGGTTTGGGGAGCAATCATGACAAATGGCAGCATTGAGTCGCATATCTTCCAAGAAGGTTCTATAGCCACTCGGAGATATGTGAACGAGGTATTGGAATTCCAATTTAGTTTAGGGTTGCTGTTGCCCCAGAGTTTTTGCTAATGGATGACATGCTCAGCCTTATCAAGCATATTTGTTGTCAGAATATTTGCAAACAGAAGATATCACTCGAATGGATTTGCCACTTTACTCACATGATTTGAACCTAATTGAACATGTGTGGGATGCCTTGGGGCACCAGATTCCTCTCTGGACCCTCCATGAACTGAAAAGTGCTATTTTAGAAGAGTTTCATGCAATTCCACAAGACATGATTAACACATTGGCAAAGTCCAAGAAATCAAGATATGAGGTATGCATATCTGTCCAAGGTGACCATATACCATATTAAACTAAAATTTTGGACTCAAGAGATGATTTAATTTTTCCATCATTTTCCAATTTTGTATCAGTTTGGTTTTAATTTCAATATTTTGCGAATAATCAATGGCCAAGCATCGTAATTTATGTTTACTAATTGTACTTTTGTACATATTTCTATTAATAATTTTTCATTAAGTATCAGTTATGTTTTATTTAAGTCATTATGCTTTAATTTTGATAAAGTATGTACAAATAGTGCCATGGTTTTAGTGTACTATTTACACTATATAAGTTGTGGGGACTACATACAATGGCTATAGTAGTTAGGGGTCAGCCTGTCGTAATGAATGACTTTAGGCTTAGAATTTGATGACTTACAGATCTGAGCTAAGATGTCGTACAGGCTGTTTAGGAACCTGTAAGGACTGTCCCAAGGTGACTGTAATTTAGGAGAAAGACCTTTCCATTGACTCAGATTCCATGACCACACCTTGTCACCTTCATTGAATCAATGTTCTGTAGCTCTAATGTCGTATCAGGTCTTCATCTTCTCTGTCGCCAAGTTGGCTCACTGTCATGCAAAATTGTCCATCACTTTAAACCGTGCCTGCAGAATTTTGAATGTTTTCCTCTGGTGATGAAGGTGCATCAGGAGACCAAACAAGAGATAACAAGGTCAGATGAATCAAAGGACATCTGGGATACGGAATGGCCAGTAGTCTCATGGATAGCACTGAGATAGGCTAGTAAGAACAGTTGTAACTTCTGGTCCCTGTTCTGTTGGTTTCTGGAAACCATCAGCCAGAGGTTATTAACACTAGAACGGTGGTAGGGGTCATTTTGACCCCTGAACACTTTTGACCATTGAATATTTTTGTTTTATTGGAAGAAATTGTTTGGAATTTTTTGACTTTTCCTAAATAGATAACAAATATTTGTAAAAAAATTTTCAGTATTCTAGGTTTGTTAGTGTTTGAAATATTGGCATGTATTCCTAGAACGGTGGACGGGGGTCATTTTGATCCCTTTACTTTTAGCCTTCTTTCTCTTCAAGGCATTGTCAAATAACCCATGAAAACATTAATAGTTTATTTTAAAAAGAAAATAACTATTTTTGAAAAGAAATGTAAGCATGTTTGTAATTATCTATTCATTTGAAGAAAATACTGCAAGGAAGGTAGATGCAGGGTTTTTCATGCTTACATTTCTTTTCAAAAATAGCTTATTTTACACATGTATTTTCTCGTTTGTTAGTTCAGCTTACTTACTGCAGGTGATAACAGTTAGGACAGATGTTTTCTTGGTAATCCCAAATCAGTATTTCAGTACATATGAATTATGGCATCTTCATTATCACCTTTCCTTTATGCTCTGAGAATCATATGCTAAAATATATTACCTATCGTTTTCTGATATTTGTATGTTTGAAGAGTAATAGGTGTTGGTGTAGGTGTATTTAATTATGGCAAAGCACACTAGGGCTATCTGCCTAAGGGGAGGGATGCCTTCATGGAGGCCTTTCTAAGGGAAACTGACTCTAAAGAGTAAAATAGGAGCAAAGAGCTTATATTTACATTCCTTGTGGTCCGAAGCATTGAGAATACCATTTTGTAAAGAAACTATATCAAGAGATAGATTCAAAGAAATAAAATGATTTTTAAGGTTCAATGAGAAGACTGCAAGATCTACTCGATTACAGACTGATAAATTTTCTCTTGCATCAGACATGTGGAACAAATTTGTTAAAAACTGCAAAATTTGCTACCGGCCAGGACAAAATATTACAGTTGATGAACAATTATTTCCATCTAAAGCTAGGTGCAGATTTACACAATATATGCCTAATAAACCTGACAAATTTGGAATAAAATTTTGGATATTTGTTGACATTGATACTAAATACCTCTTGAATGGATTTCCTTGTCTAGGAAAA